ACCAGTCTGCACTGCTGGATTCATGCTGCAGGATGAATACTGTGGTAGGACAGAGATGGCTTACTTTTGAAACGTGTGGGATTATAAACTGCTATTCTCCTGCACTTTTTGAATATTTACAGAATTTCTAGAGAGAATATGATCCTGTCCAAGCAGTAATTTCACATCCACAAGTTTTTCCAAAAAAGGCAACAAAGTTTAGATTTGTGTAAACAGCTGATATTCCCATGCTGTTTTTCAGAAGTAAAATAGTACATAGACTGGATCATGACTGCTTGATACATCAATCAAGAAGTAGAACATGATGAAAGGAGGAACATGTATTGAGTGCGTGGGGCTGATAACTGAACATCTCTTGGACAAGATGGTGCTCTTTCTTTGCTGAAGCATTTGAGAATGTAAGTGTGCCAAAACCCCAAAACTGGATTGGGGATGGAGGAAGAGAGTTCACCTTCAGCCAGATTTTTTTTTTTTGGGAAGAGAGTTCACCTTCAGCCAGATGCAGTGACATTTTTTTTTTGTCTTTTCGCATTAATTCGTAATTTCTAACAAAAATAATAAAAATGATATGAACATTAATAACTCATCACCATGCAGTAACAAATCCTAGCATATGAAATATGCATACTGAACCCATGACACCTATACCTATAAAGCAGAAAAAATAGACTATTTTTCCTTCTGCTTTTTAATTACCGGGAGAGAGCATGCAATATTTTGTAGCTTAAAAATCATGTAAATAGCATAAATTATAAAAATATAACTATTTTGTGAAGTTATATTTTTTAAATTGAATAGGTTTTGATGATGCTCTTTATAAATATATTTCTCAAAGTTAATGATTCCTTCAATTAAATAATAACAAGCCTACACCCCTCGCTGGCAGACATGATTTTTCTCTGAAGAAAGTCTAAAAGACTCATCAGCAAAACATCACTGCAAGCACTACCAGAACACGATAGAAGGCTTTGTACTGTAGGTAGGGAAAAGTTTTTTTATTAAATTTAAAAGAATTTACCTTGACAAGAAGTCTGTGAAAGAGAGACGTATTGGATATCCATGTCGTATGATTTTGACCATGTCTAGGACACCAATATACTGCAGTTGAGCAGACACATAAAAATTGTCAAAAGTATCTGGCAACTTGGAGTTATTAGGCTTTATGCAATGAACGGAATGTGGCGTGCAGTTCTGCAGCTTCCCAATAATATCTGTGAGTGATTTCTGTGGGGGAAAAAAAATCAATTATCAATCATTATTGTGCAGCAAAGACAACTGCTCAT